AGCTGAGGGGTCCCAGCACCTACATGTACATGTATACGTCTATTCTTGGGGATTAACAAATGCTTTCATAAGGTTGACGTGCAGAGTATTTGGGCATTGATGCACAGGGTCAGCAGTTTACAGGACAGTGGACTGTAAGATAGCAATACTGCTTGGAATTTCAAGATTTGATCAGAGTACACAGGTCGTTCTTAGTCCATTTTTTAGCAAGAAAAAAGTATGTAAGTGGCAGTGAAGCTCATGAGGATATGCATGTGTATCAATAATGTTGAACAAAAAGTTGCTCATGGTTTGCTCCAACACTAAACGTACCTCAATATAGTTTGAAAGCTTGTTTTCATCTTAATTTTCAATAATTTTAACAATTGCCAAATTTAGTAATGAATTTTCATTTCTTTGACTCCCAAAATATGTGCTATAATGCTATTGCAATTGTCGTTTGCAAAATGCTTGTTTTATCTTTTTGGTGCTTTTGAGTTTTCCCTTTTTTCCCCTTGTTCATTTAGGGTTTCATTGATATGCCAATAAGTGTTCCCTTTCATATATGTCTGGTTGTCTCCATGAATTCCATGAATTTTTTTGAACGTTCATATCGCTTTCATTTTTTTGTGTTACACTTATTTTTTTGCTTTTGTGTTAAAGTTGGTTAAAATTACTTTTCATTTCCCAAAGATAATTTATTATAGCCTGACTCTGTTGTTTAAAGGAAATTCATTGTTTGGTGGTTCTTCTAAGCCTTTCTTTATGATTACCCTTAAACCCAAACCTTTGTGTCATCATGTCCAGTTTTAGCCTTCAGGCGTTTTTATTGAAGCTAATATTTGTAAATTGTTCAAATGTTAAAATTCCTGGTGAATCCAAGTTTTTTTTAGCTTGGACTCTTTTTATGCCCTGCATTATTGATTTATTAACACTGGAAAGATTTTTGTTATAAATCATAACCACAGGCCAGTATGCAGACAGACGGGCATTTGAGCTTTTTGCATTTTTAATTTCAAACATATCTCAGCGCATCTGAAGCCCATTGCTGTGGACTCAAAAATGTACCAGGTTTGTTCGTAATTTTTGGAGTTTGTCGTATGCTCTTTTTCAAGCGTTTTTGTGAAGTCCCTCTTAGTATTCCTGATTTCAAATATTAATAATAAAGTATGTGTTGTAAAATCTCCCGCAGCTGAGAGAGATGATCATGTCTGTGTACTGTATGTATATAGATTGTACAAAATCCTGTACAGACGTTTATGTAAATTGTATTCAGACAGCTTGTATAGTATACATTGATTAATTTTGTGCGAAAACAAAATGAAGTTGATAGAATACTCGGCTTGTACTCCATTGTAAAAAAGTACATATAGTTCCACCAGGTTGTAACCAGTGAGGAACTGTCAAAACAATTTTTCAAGTTTTAAAACTTTGTCTTGCATTTATGTGAATTTTCAACTTATTATTGATATGTTTATTGTAGTATAGAGCCTTTCCCTGGTTCCTTATTCCAAAAGGTAAATAAAACATAACAGATAATGTGAAAGGTGATTTGTTATTTTTTTTTTTACGTTTGTGGTGTGCAAATCGCCACTGACCACTTCTCGTTTGGCTTTTTGTGCGGTGTGGGTTTTCATTCAACATTTCCTGAAAAGTTTAAACCACGAGCGTCACCGAGAAATAATATTTACATATGTTTTTGACAAACAGGTATTCTGGAACTATCTATGGGATTCTTTGTGTGACTTTATAATTTGTAAGCTTTAAAACTGGTGATTTCATATTTCTGTGCGCTCCAGATGGCCTGAAATTAAACCACGGATAAGAGTGTTGCAACTGTCTTTTTTGTTTGCGTTGAGAATTTACAAGTTTGTTATCAATTTATTTCCTGCAATTTATAAGAGAAGAAACAGAGAAACTTAAAGCAAATGCGTCAAATTTAAGATTAGTTTTGTTTTCTAACAGCTTTGAGTTCTTACTTGAGTTGATAAGACTAGTGGAATGTCTAGATTTTTAGTTGCCGTGTGGGGGAAAAGTCGGGGCATTGTCTCCAAATGCGATTGTCATTGTTATCGGTAAAAGAAACACCCGGATCCCCAGAGGAAGCTGTTAGAGCCGTTTCATTTCCTTTACAAATGACATTTCACCGGGGCAGAAGATTCTGCCCTTATCCCTCTGGATATGCCGTTGGAACTCGCATTTATTAACTCGAGTAAAGACTACAAAATGTTAAGTCGGGTATACTTGCATTTTTTTTCATGAAGAGGCACATTGGGCTAAACAGCCATCTTAGTGATTGACTTTAGGGCGCAGTGACGTTCTGTATTGTTCATTACGAAATACGAATGTAGCTTGCATCTTACTGGTGAGAATATTGCGGTTTGACAACAATGAAGCACTAATTTCATCATAATTAAGGCCTAAAGTTGGCACGTAAACATGAACGAATTCCTCTTGGAGCAAAAACTAATCAGACACGACTGTGGGGGCCACCCCCCCAAGAAAAAAAAAGTGTACAGTATATTTTGTAAAAACGAACTTGAAAAATATATATTTCGTAAAACAGATTTGGAAAAAAATCTATGAATTTATGCCATGCTGTTTTATAATACCTTTGGCGCCACAAATGAAGTACTAATTCACGTTCTGTGATTGAACCTGAAAAAGTTTTGTACACGTACGTACTATCAGGACGTACCAAGAATTTACAAGGAGGGGTGAACATTTACAAACAGGGCGTCCCAAGTGGAGGTGAGCCCGGAAATATTTGTAGTGATACATCTTTCTTCAAAGTTATTAAAGGACTTGTTCAGAGCCAGAGAGGCAGCAGCGGAGGAAAAGCACCCATGTATATAAAAGGGGGATTGCGCCGGGTGCACCCCCTTATCAGTTACCAGACCTTTCCCGAGAAATAGTTTTATGCGAAATTGTTCAATCAGTAAAATTCTGACGCGATAAAAATGCCCTATAATCCAGGACCTGAAGTTTACTGACGTAAAAAGTTTAGAACCCCTGAAAAGGAAAATCAGACAGTACACCAAATTATGCGATTGCACGGCAAAGTTGGGTTCCAGATCGTGCTCAAGGCGCCTATCCCCGAAAAACTGAAAACAAGTCTATATTTCATTTATCTCTTTCGCTTTACAATAATTTCAATTATTTTAATGTAATCCAATTTTCCCCGAATCGCTGTAATTCCGAGTAACATAGCGATTGAACGCCTCGCTGCAGCTGCCACTTTCACGCTGCGCTGGCGCGGGCATAGCCCACCCTTCGTATATAGTACATAGTGCACTATATCAATGAACGAAAACAAAAGGATGCGCGCGCATACAGGAGGAGCCCTTGCAAAGCATCATGGGACGGATACTCAATCCGCCATGATGTCGCGGCGATTCGGTGAAAATATGAATTTGTGTGTTCGTTTCATGGTTTCTACCGATTTTGAGAATTAAAAAACCGCATGACAACCCACAACGACATTCACGATCGCACGTCGGATAGGTATTTCGTGCTACCGATCCCTATTTGGGCTGTATTTTAAGGGATCGCACGTTGGGTCACCAGCGAGGCTATCGGCCAAAATGAGCAAGTTATCGTTTCGTGCTCGGGCGCTCGATGCCTCGAAACCCATGCCCGTGTACATGACAGAAGAATTACCGGATTTGCCGGATTTTTCGGCCATCAACCGTGCAGTGCCCCAGATGCCAACGGGGATGGAGAAAGAAGAGGAATCGGTAAGATTCACAACGACAGCGCAGTCGTAAATATTTTTTGAATATTTAATGAGGTATGCTGGCGGCCATCTTGATTTGATCAATTTGGCGCGCTCGATAATGTGCTGCTGAAAACATGTCTATTTGTGCCGCCGGAATAAAATATTTGTGTGAATTTAGTGCACGATAATTATTTTGAGATATTGCTTGCATGTTTGAGTTAATAATCGTCTAAATCGGAGGTAAAAATTAATAGCCAAAATTTGGTCACGTGACCCGGCCTTGATTCGTCGGCCATTTTGTTTTGCTGCAATTCTTTTCTCCAGTGATGACATGAATATTCAATGTTAAATGCTCATTGCATTTGTCTTTACTGATTTGAAATCATTTTTCAGTTATCCTGAATCTGTGTTTTTACATACGTAAACTATGTTAGGAGATTTTATGTCAGTCAAAAAGGTTTACTGGAATGCACATGCTACCGTGTCGGCCTAGCTAGGCCCTGTGGCTATGCAAAATTGTATGGTGTCATGGAAGTGCTGTGGGCCCGGGCAATGATCGTCCGTGAATAATGGCGTAATTATGTTTGAACATGCGCATAAGTATTTAGGTTTTTGTAACCTGAAACCACGCGGGAAGATATAATTTGTCTGCGATGTGATGTCACTATGTAAATACACATAGACTGTTTCCTCGCGAAAAAAATGAACTTCGAACGACAATTTTGGCATTCACAAACTGGATTTTTTTCAGAGACTCTGTTACCTTTTTGTCGTAGTCAGAGACTTGATGTAATTTTTCAATGTTGTCACTAACGAGCTAAATTTTTTGCTCGGAAAGTTAGACTGATCTCGTTCGCCTATTTTGGGCTCAGAAGATCAAGTTCAGCTGCAATTGAATAGGGACTTACCTGTGGATTGTAGAATAGGCACATTCACGTACATGTAAGTTTCACCTGTTTCTTGATGAGCCAATATCTCATTTATTTAGAAGCTTCAAAACATGAAGTGCTCAATTGGAACTACCTGTTCAAGATTCAGTGTCATTCCTAAATGCCTATTCTAATAGCGTTTTAGTTGTCTTTTCCCTGCTTTTTTGTCATTTTCAAATTCTAACTGTGCCTCTGCATAAATGCAGCTGCAGTTGCCCATGAAAAAAAGAAACATTTTTTTGGAAATAAATACAGCCATACAAGAGAACAAATTATAAAATAATGTCCTAATCTGCTGTAACTTCATGATGACTATTAAAAACCAGCAGACTTTATTTCCAAAGGTAATGAGGGGGCTTAGTCTTAAGCTAAATTGAGTTATTTGATGAGTTATTGATAATGAATCAGTAAAGTTTTCTTGTGTTTGTAGTCAATTCTAATTCTAGGAAACTTTAAGAATGAAACTGAGTACAGGCTTGTTGCTCAACTGCAGTCAAGGAGACTCAAAGAGGACTTAAACCATAAAAATTTGCATAATAAAGAAAAAAAGTGATACTTTATCCGAGTTTTGTTGAAGAAATTATGACTTGGGGGTTGTCAGTGGATGCTGCTATTAAATTCCTTTTTGAAATACCATCATTTTTTCAACTTTTATGTTCTCACTTTAGTAAAGCCACTGCATGCAAAATAATTTGATTGCACGTGTTGGGAATATTGACATCTAAATGTTCACTATTTTCTAGTCAAACATTAATTGGCAATAGCTTTAAAACATTAAATAAAACTTTTCAGCCAAATAAAAATGTCGTTCATCACTGAGTGCTTCATCAAATTTTGCACAAAGCTTGAATTCTTTCTTGCAATCATCAGAAGCATCTTTGGAGGTCCAAATCATTCACTCGGGCATCTCGGCATCTGTTATTGTTCCACTGGAAAAGATACAAAAACAAGAACACTCAATCAAGAGGTTATGACAAATACTGATTGGCACGTTTCTCATTGCAGGATTTACTTATTGTTTCATGTGTTGGAATCAATTCAATTCACAACAAATCAGAGTAAATTTTCCTTACGATTGCTGTGTTTGACGTAAGGAAATGCTGCCCTTATCAACTGTCTCTGCAGATAGTCATTGGAATATGTTCTTGTCAAAGAAATTTTAATAATCACCTGTCAGCCCCACAGTCGTAAATACAGGTGTTAACTGATGTGCATGACGTATTATCGGACGTTCAGCACACACATTAAACATGTTAAAAAATATTTGCCGACAAAAATCATTCAGGCCTAAGCTAGTTTACCTTTTCCCCAATCGCTGGCTGCCACAACAATTAGTAAAATGTGGCCTGGAGCTGACAGTGAAAGGCAGCAAGGCCATCGACAGAGCGGGCATTACGGACAGTCAATGGAGCCTTACGCTTGACTCAACGGCAGCTTACCACAAGCTGCGGTCGGGCCAGTGCTTTCGCGACCGGGGCCGGTGTCGGCTTTCTTCCCACGGAAAAGACGACTTGGCTGGGCATGGTAGCCGTGGCGTGATCTTGACGTTTCTTATCTCCGATGAAAACAAATAAGCCCAAAGTCTCATATTTTCATGAAACAACCAGCATTTGCTCCAAACAGGGAGTTCTTTAACTATGCAAGACACTGTTCACATTGTGTCATGTGCAATTTGAGGTCGAAATGTCGCCAAAATCATGATATTCATTGGTGAATTTTCCTGGCTAAAGAAAAATTTAGCTGTCTGCCCATGATGAAAACAATGGAGAATACACCCTCGTTCACCAAATAAAAGAACTTAGAGTTTTGTAGTAAATCCTGTTTCAAATGTAATCTTCGTATTTTCAGAAATATACCAAGATAAATTATGTTTTTATTTAAAAATGTGTCAAAAATTTGAATTTCTATAAATTTACTTTGCAAAGGAATATTTTAACCTTAACCGCCAAGCATATTGTTTGGCTTACACAACACAGTACTACAAAATACTAAGTAATAGTCTGAGCCTGAAGGACCTAGCGCTACAGATTACTACTGCTGGCTAGGTTACTTCCATTGTTACTTGTACAGAGAGCAATAAAGCCATTCATTCGTAGTGCCACAGCACTGTATGGTACATTGTCTTATCTATTGTATCTTATGGCTTCACTGAACAATAAAGTCATGTCCTCTTACAAGTGACAGTACAACATTTTACTACAAGTAGTAATTTGTAGTATAATGTAGGGTAAGGGTTAATCATTTAACCCTCCTTTGGTTTTACAGCACTAATATGCACAAGTGCCCACAGTCACTCTTGTGCATGTATTTTCTACATGGAACACAAACATGCACAGGTTCAGTGTGTACACAGTTGGTTGCCAGCACAAACTGACATAGGGTCTTTTGTGCAGTCCTCTTCACTGTATTTGGCTTACTGCACAATGATGCACATGAAACAGTGAAGCACAGTTGTTGGGCAGCACAAAAGTGCAATCTGGTATTCCTGTGAGGGAGAGTTGGTGCAGTGCACAACATGACACAGCTGTGCTTCTTTGACATGTTTGAGGTGTTTACCAAGTGACCCAAAGAGTGACTTCAGCATAGGAGAGTTAAAAATATTTATCATTTTGATGAAGCGATCTAAGCAACTGGGGTGACTAGAAACTGTAAGCTATGCCATCACTGGAAGGAGACGATGTAATTGGAGAGTTGTCTGAGTTTATCCCCGTGGGATTAAAAAATTAATATTCATAAGCAATAATGAGGGGCGCCGATCGTGGGGCCTACATGTATGGTTTAGGTCAGGTCAGGTACACCGTTCTCAAGGTCGCAGGTTGTTCCATTTTTTGCACATTTGATGTAAAGGTTGAGAGTTTGAGTCAATTCAGATCTCCCCATATACCGCTACACTATTTTTCCCCTTTGAGTTTGTGTGAAAGATGGAATAACCATCAATTGACCAATCAGAGAGAAGAATCAAGAATCATTTGACGTCACCCTGACCTCAAGAATGGAGGAATAAAAACGTTTTTTATTTCTCCAACGGTACATAGACTTTTTGAACCAGTTTACACATTGCATGAACTTAATTTTTAGAGGTTTCAAGTTAATGGAGTGGTGCAGTGGCCAGTGCTGTGAACCAGGCCCACATTTTTGTACTGTCCTGTTAGGCTATCCTTTCTCTTGACGTGCTGTCACCATGTCAAGTTTTAATACAACATGTACTTGCTTGATGACATGATTCTCCAAAAAAATTCGTGCAGTATGGTGTCCTTAGACTTTTATCCAACTAAGCTTGAAGTCTCAGTTCCATTCCAGATCTAGAGGAGTCTTCATCAACCTGAGAGTGAAGCCAGTTGATTTTAATTTGAAGCCTGAGTAATTGAATTTTACATACATATGCAACATTTTCAACATGTTGATCATTCAGTAGTCTGGTGTCATGAGTTTACTGCACAGGGACTCTGTGGAGGGAGGGATTAGGTTCCAGATTTTTCTCTTAGCACATATGATGCTACAGAGAGCAGTGCTCTCCACAGCTTAAAATTATAGCAGGGCGGCACACGATACGGGCACGGAGCTCGAAGCCATGACAGCATTCGGTCTGGGGCTCGCTCAAGGGCCCTGGGAAATTTTGGATTCTAGATGCTCTGTGGTGCGATCTGAGTCTGTGTTTGTTTCACTCGAATCTGGATCACAATCAGCGATCTGTCGTTGGGTTACGGACACCAAAAGCCGCCTAATGGATGGTGCAAAACAGCATTATGATCACTGATAGAGATTCAGATCCATGTGAAAAACAGGCCCTGAGGTATTTTCTGGGGACTTTCTTCTGACTCCTTGAATCACATTTGCTCGTGGTAACAATTTGAAGGCAAGATTGTTATCGGGAGGTCATCAAAAGTTGATTTTTTTTTTCCGGGACATTTCCTTTTTTTATTGATTCGAACTCACCGTCGAGCGGATGGTTTGGGGGTTACATGTACGTATGGGGCCACAGCGCGAGTGGGTGATGTGCAGTCGCCTCCCTAATTTCGGATTTCAAAAATAATCCATGGTCAAATTCTAGCGACAAAATCCTATAGGCCTAATTCTGGTGAAATAAGGT